GCAGGTTCAGCAATCAGCAGCACCTTTAGCTGGGCCACAAATAGGCAAACAAGTTGGTCAGGGTTTGCTTTGCATTCCAGCTTTTGTGAAACTATAAGTCCCATGAGGCATTGCAAGTTTGACAGCCATGGGCATTACTCCCAGAGGCATAATGGGATTTGTAGTTCATCACAGATGGAGTGCCAAGAATGCCTACCCCAGCCTTAAGTCAGATCAAAAGGATTGTTTTAATGCCTCCTCATCCCAAACAGCATACACTTGCTTTTCCCTCACTTCCCGGCTGCTTCGGCATACACTTGCTTTTCCCTCACTTCTCGGCTACTTCGGCATACACTTGCTTTTCCCTCACTTCCCGGCTGCTTCGGCATACACTTGCTTTTCCCTCACTTCTCGGCTACTTCGGCATACACTTGCTTTTCCCTCACTTCTCGGCTGCTTCATCCACCAATGAGAGCCAGTGCAGTCACACAGGAAGTCCATAGTCCTGTAAATGCTGCCACTTGCAGCAAGTTTTCCTTTAACTTTCCAGCAGCTGATCGTGATGGAAGGTAAGTGATAGGAAGGCAAACATACATATCTGTAAAGAACAGATTCACTTAAAAGTAACATGCGGATCTTTCATAGTTACAGAATGAAGAATTTCAGAAAGCATTACAAATAAACTGGGACATGCAATTCAACAGCAGACGAATAACAAGTAGATGTGTTCCAAGATAGGAAAGGACAAGTGGTGACCTGCAAATGGAAGGACTTGCGCTTCCACAAAACAGAGGTATATCCAAAGCCAAACACCTAGGGCCTGTTCACATGGCCTTGTGTTATACGCACAATAACATGCATTGAACGCACACTATCACACAGCACACGTAGCACGTGGTAACTTTGAATGGCACTGCAACACACCTCCGAGCGGCTTTGCGTTGCACCACAGAGTACCGCATGTCGTGGTAGAGTCATTTAGTGCACGCACTCCTTTTTTCTCGCCGCAACGCACTGTTTCACCAGAAGTTAAATCTTGCCGATTCCCACAGGGGACCCAGTGCACTGCAGATTCCCACAGGGGACACAGTGCACTGCAGATTCCCACAGGGGACCCAGTGCACTGCAGATTCCCACAGGGGACCCAGTGCACAGGATAGAAAGTGTCTTGACAGATCTGAATGGGATCAGGTGCTATGTGAAATGACCGCCCTGAGGAATTCAACAAGACTTTTATGTTGTTGCAGATGTTTCTGTAATGTCATAAAGTGTAATCAATGTGACCTGCTTTTGATTCAGTCATGCCAGCAAGCTTTATCCACAGACACTTCCTTTCCTAGGGCAACAATGCTTCCAGAGTTTAGCTGCAGCATGGTCACTCTTTACTGTCTGCTCACTATAATCGGCCATGCCAATACACAGACACCACAGGAAAACCAGGATGTCCCACTGTTTTTTTAAGAAAAGTAAAATTATACAAAGTCTGCTTTTTTGCAAGCCAGCCCCTTCCTTAAAAACACAAATGGCTTTAAGGAAGAACTCCGGGCATATTAAATGTAAACCTTTGCAGTAGGGCTACCTCAACACTGCAAGGGTTAAGTGCTTGTTTTCTCTAGGGAGCTAAAATAACAAAGATAAACTCACCCGAACCTGGCTAGCTGCTAGACCCCCTATGCTCCAGTGATGGTGAATCCCTCTGCGTCCTTACGTCTAAGGCCTTGTTCACACCAAGCATGGAGCAGGTGCACAGCAGAGCAGTTACAGACCGGAGCAAAACTGCGTCCAATGTATTCCAATGGTGTTTTTAGCTCCAGTTCACATTGCAGCGTTCAGTTCCAGAGCAGGTAAAAAAAACTGCAGAAAAAACATATAAACAGCGCTCTCGGATGGGCAAAGAGTTAGCTTGGAGGCGTGTATGCAGCCCTGGGAAACAGGAGGAGAACCTGTGAATGCAAATGATCAAGAAACCAAGAAAGGGCACAGAGAACACTGGCTAGCTAACGAAGTTATAATGAAGACTAAAGGTGGTGGCACTTACGCGTGATTGCCAGGATCTGGAGATGGACGGCCGGTATGGAGGATCGGGGCACTCGTGGTGTGGTTCCGACTGTAGTTGATGTGCTGATCCGAGAGGTACATCCACAGGAGAGTGTAGACAAGAAGAGGGGACTTCGTCCGAAGTGCCGTTGGGGGTCAGTGCGGTGTGGAGGAGAGGCAGGGAGATCGCTGTGGTGTCGGCAATGGACAGGGCTGTAGCAGCCGTAGCTGTGTGTGTCAGCGAGCGATCACTGTCAGGTCTGCTGGGGACGGTGTACGGAAGCAGCTGTCAGATGCCGAAGGTAGAGTTAATGGTGAGATGGAGAGGGATCAAAGCTGACAAGAGCGACGCGTTTCGAGGTATTACCTCTTTTTCAAGCTCGGGTAAAACAATGACAGTCATTCGACAGTGATTCGACTTTCGGCATCTGTCAGCTGCTTCCGTACACTTCCATACACTGCCGTACACCGTCCCCAGCAGACCTGACAGTGACCGCTCGCTGACACACACAGCTACGGCTGCTACAGCCCTGTCCATTGCCGACACCACAGCGATCTCCCTGCCTCTCCTCCACACCGCACTGACCCCCCAACGGCACTTCGGACGAAGTCCCCTCTTCTTGTCTACACTCTCCTGTGGATGTACCTCTCGGATCAGCACATCAACTACAGTCGGAACCACACCACGAGTGCCCGATCCTCCATACCGGCCGTCCATCTCCAGATCCCGCCAATCACGCGTAAGTGCCACCACCTTTAGTCTTCATTATAACTTCGTTAGCTAGCCAGTGTTCTCTGCGCCCTTTCTTGGTTTCTTAAAAAAAACTGCAGCAGACCCTATTTCACCTGCTCTGGAACGCATGCAAACGCATCAAAAATGCAGGCAAACGCCTGGAACGCACATGTTAAGCTAAAAAAAAATTTGTTTTTACCAATAACGCCCCGGAACGCATCAAAAACGCAGCACAACCCACTGCACTGCGTGTGTAGAAACTCATGCAGATCTGGTCTGCATTTGGTGTGAACAAGGCCTAATACACTGTATCAGACGTGATGACATGCGGAATCTTAGTCTGCCGAAGTGAACGGGAGAAAGGCTGCAGTGTCAAGTCTAGCAGACCTCCAGATCCCAGATTCAAGTGACTACATCTCCCTAGGAGGGTTGGGGTAACCCTACTGCAAAGATTAAGATGTCATATGCCTGGAGTTCTTCCTTAAAAGGCCATTTTAAACAAACAGATCGTTTAGGGCAAACAAAATTACTTCTCGGCACCGGCCTGCGAAGCTTCCATGAGGTACAGGTGACATATCTTTTATAGATTGCCAAGGACTCAACAACAAATGACGAGGCATGCTTGTACTGCCACAGCTGACAGTCACAAGTTCTCCAGAATCACTGCAAGTTAGCAGGCAATCAGCAGCACCTTTAGCCGGGCCACAAATACACAAACAATTTGCTCACGTTTCTTGTAATGAAGCCTTATGTCAGGCAACCTCGGCTCTGCAGCTGTTGTGACACTACAAGTTCCATGAGGCATTGCAAGACTGTCAGCCATGTGGCATTACTCCCAGATGCTCCCTAGACAAAACAAGCACTTAACCCTTGGAGTGTTGGGGTAGCCCTGCTGCAAAGGTTAAGATTTCATATGCCCGGAGTCTTTCTTTAAACAAAAAGAGATCATTCGGGGAACAAAAAGTTTCCTTACCATAGGACCAGCCTGCAATGCTTCCATGAGGTACAGGTGACATCACCGGTCCTTCTTGCAAAGCTGGGAGGTGACGATCCTGCAAGAATGCTCCCCAGCCCATTGCATGCTTGTGGGATTTCCACTAGCCAGCTAGGAGACGCACTGATGTCACCTGTGCCATCCAGGAAGTGTTGCAGGCCAGGGCCAAGTTATTGTTTCTTCTCTAGATGATCTGTCCCCCAAACGTAAACGGTGACCGCTCGGTTGCTGTGCCAGAAGTGTGGAGTGATTGCACTTCCAACGCAGAAAAGTGGACACATACATGCAGCTGGGCATTATAGCCTACCTTTACACTTTGACAGATGTGTGTGCTGCTCAGGAAGGCCCTAAAGCCTTGGTTCTCAACTAGTGGGTCGTGAGCCCAAAGTGGGTCGCGACCCCATGTTCAGTGGGTCACCACAAGCCTTCCACTATTTTAGGTGAGAGGCTCCTCTGCCTCCCCCTAGCGCAGCACTGTCAGTTCTCGCACCAAGCAGTCATTCAAAATATGCAGCCCGGTGCCGAATGTAAGCTTGACGTGGGGTAGGATGGAGCTATGGCCACGAGGGAGCTCCATCCATACGTGCATTGCTTGCAGCTCCCTGACGTGTTCTATAGGAGGTGCCTGGACCGGAGTGACATCACATTCTGGCTCCCGGCACCTCCACAGGACACGCATGGTAGCTGTACAAGCAATGGTTCGTATGCCCGCACTGGAACGCACGGTACCTTAATTACATTCATTCCATTGCAGTGCAACTTGGGTCGCGACTTAATGACCAATGGACACATGTGGGTCCTCAGGTTACACAGGTTGAGAACCACTGCTCTAAAGCCATTTGTGTTGTTGTTGAGGGGGGGGAGGTCTTGCAAAAACACAAAAAAGCAGACCCTCGTTTGGCACTGTTGATGGTATTTATCACTTCCGGAGCGTGCCAAAAAAAGACACAACAACCAAAGTGAACTCAGCAATATATGAAAACACTTGTAGTTCATGTCATGATTAAAGGTTTATCTATCTCAGCTGCACTAAGACCTGCAGAGACGTATGGGGTATGCTGATGCTTGTAGTGCCACAAGACATATACACATGGCAGTAATGAGTTGACACATAACACGGTAAGACCTGTAGAGACATAGTATGTAATGGGCCCCAGGCATGCTCTTTCGGGGCCCTAAAGTCCCATTATAGCCAGGCTCAGCTTATCCCATGTACACCTCAATAACGGATTAAAGGGGGCACCCCAAACTTCTCACCACACGAAGTCGTTGCTCTTGTCCTCATAGGAGTTAATGAGCCCGTTGCACAGTGGGGTAGGCAGAGGCCTCTTCCTCGGCCCGGAGCCGCCGGACCTTCCTGCGAGCGCTGAGCTGCCGCCTGGAACGCCGAGCCTGGACAGGCTGGTGACCCCCACAAGTCCCTGGCGCAGCGGCACAGATGAAGAAGAACTTGATGGGGAAGGGGAGGGGGAGGAAGGGCCCGTTCCACCTCCCGGCCCGGGGAGCTGCTGAGGCTGCCGACCCGAGGACATGATCCAACCGAGGGACGCTTTAGGCCTGGTACATTCCTCTGTCAACCAGACGCGGAACAATAAAGTGTCAACAAGAGAGCCACTTCCAGCCCGACACCGGAAGCGTCCGGCCAGCGACGGGGCGCCAGACGGCTGCCACGCCCACTTTGCCGCTGTGACTACGGCGCCATGCTGGGGACAAAATAGATACTTTCACGAAGCTCAGCCGCTGCTTTGGATGTGTAGACTGTGTACAGAGGAAATATAAACTGCGGGTGATTTATTAAACAAAACGAAGTGCGGGGAGGGGACTAGATCCAACGTGAAGTAGTTGGCAACAGAAACCCACCAAGCCTGTGTTTTACTGTCACTTGAAAATAATCAAGGAGTTTATGTAAACCGCCGTCTGAGATTCTCTTCTTTACAGATCAGGTCCAAGAGAGCTCAGCTCTTCTGCATGACACTCTGAGGGGGGAATTTATCAAAGGTGGAGCAGATTTGCACTACAGCGAATCAGCATTTCTCTCTCATGATCAAACCTTACCTGGGCAAACTGAAGAGAGATGAGGGCCCGTTCCACCTCCCGGCCCGGGGAGCTGCTGAGGCTGCCGACCCGAGGACATGATCCAACCGAGGGACGCTTTAGGCCTGGTACATTCCTCTGTCAACCAGACGCGGAACAATAAAGTGTCAACAAGAGAGCCACTTCCAGCCCGACACCGGAAGCGTCCGGCCAGCGACGGGGCGCCAGACGGCTGCCACGCCCACTTTGCCGCTGTGACTACGGCGCCATGCTGGGGACAAAATAGATACTTTCACGAAGCTCAGCCGCTGCTTTGGATGTGTAGACTGTGTACAGAGGAAATATAAACTGCGGGTGATTTATTAAACAAAACGAAGTGCGGGGAGGGGACTAGATCCAACGTGAAGTAGTTGGCAACAGAAACCCACCAAGCCTGTGTTTTACTGTCACTTGAAAATAATCAAGGAGTTTATGTAAACCGCCGTCTGAGATTCTCTTCTTTACAGATCAGGTCCAAGAGAGCTCAGCTCTTCTGCATGACACTCTGAGGGGGGAATTTATCAAAGGTGGAGCAGATTTGCACTACAGCGAATCAGCATTTCTCTCTCATGATCAAACCTTACCTGGGCAAACTGAAGAGAGATGCTGATTGGTTGCCATGGGCATCTCCTCCAGATTCTGTTTGCTCCAGTTTTGCTAAATTCCCCTGTCACCGTCCTCACATACAATGTAGGAATAATGGCCCTTCATGGGACTTGATGACATCAGTGTGTGACTGCAGTTGTTCTATTGAAAGTCCTAACTTGTCGAGCTCTCCAACTGGGAACGTCACATGCGGTGACTGCCAATAGAAGATTTACAGCAGATGGAGCTGGTGCGCATGGGCAGAAAAACCTTGTCGAACTGTCTTAACTATTGCCACTGCGTCTGCGCGGCTCATCCGCTTCTATAATCTAGGACAAACTTACATTTGTCCTAGATTATAGTAGCCACCCTCCAGAAGGAAGGACAGTGTCAGCACCAATTCAGAGATGATTTAAGGATCTACAGACGAGTGATACACACATAAAATACATTTGTATTAATAGTTGTGGCTCTTGAATGTATTTTTAAGATTTAACTCCTGAGTTTAGTGTCAATTTAAGCATAACAAGCAATTTTACTTAAAAATGTCCTCGGCTATATGCAACCAATTCATACATTTGCATTTCCCACCTAGTGTTCAGTTACCATTAAACATTAACAGGGTTATTCACAAAAGGGAGAAGAGTTTGGAGACGGCAGGTGTCAGGGTACTAGGGGGCTTACCGTTCCCCTTCCTGGCAGGGCCCCTGGCACCGAGACTGCGGGTACTCATGCGCGCAATACGCGTGCGCGGTGGACAGGCTGCGAGCGCAGGCACGGGGACGTGCGCGTAGTGCGCCTGTTACTGGTGTCAGGTGTGGTCCTTGCTGGGGGAGGTTCCCAGCACACACCCTCTGCCTCTCTCTCGCCATTGGCTCCTGATGGAGAGGCTACCTGGTTGCCTCGGGAGCCGGGGAGTGTTCTCAATCCTCCACTGGGTATAAAAGCCCAGTCAGAGCCCTGGCTCATTGCTGAGTTATTCTATCCCTATGGTATGATCTCCCAGCTCCCTGTGCCTTGGACCTGTCTTTGTTCCTGAACCTCTGTTTGGACTCCTGATTACCGACCATTTGGCTTACCCTTCCGTTACTGAAACTAGCTGCCTGCCTCGACCCGGATTGGACCTGACTATTCTTCTTGGGTTTTCCCTGTGTACCACGACCTCGGACTTTGGCTTGCTGCCCCTGCCAAGGGGTTCCACCCCCCTCCTGACAGCAGGAGAAGTGAACAATCTAGGACAACATAGCTGAACTGGAAAGGGAGCTGAATTGGAGAATGTTTCCAAACTAGCTATTTTGGCCTAGATTGTTCACTTCTCCTGCCTTCTCCAACCTCTTCACCCTTTTGTGAATAGCCCTGTATGTTATCAGTAAGAAAATGTGCTTATTTTTAATACGTTGCAATAACCTCATAGATATGTACTCTGTGCCTGTTTCACATTAGCAAAGTGATTGGCTGGCGTCACCGAGAGCTATGTATCAGTGGAGACACAGGGAATCCGTCCAGCGTGTTCAAGCTGCTAGTTGATTACAAATATTATTGCTAAGGACAGCAACATCCATGACTGTGTACAAGTTACTGTTGCAGATTTATGGAATCAATTGGCTGAATCTGTGAGCCAGACATGAAATATTCCTTTTTAGAGTTGAAAGGCGTACACATATTTGGTTTATTACTGCACACGTGAGAGAAATCTGTTTAAAGAGTAAATATCACAAGAATGGAGGCTCTGGATTTAAGAGACTTCTAAAGACCCCAAGAATAAAGATCCCACTTACCTACAGGCAGATCCGACCTTTCTATGGAATGGATGATGACATAATCCTCTAAATCAGGGGTAGCCAAACTCCGGCCCTACAGCTGTGGTTAAACTACAAATCCCATGAGGCATCTCTCTCCTGCAGTCATGTCTGTGGCTGTGAGAATCTTGCAATGCCTCATGGGATTTGTAGTTCCACCACAGCTGGAGGGCCGGAGTTTGGCGACCCCTTCTCTAAATCCTTAAAGTTCACATGTGTTTTATATGAAACCACTACCTGCCTTGTATTGCAGGTACCTCCTGGTACTCATAAGTTGGGTCTGGTCTACTTTAAAGAGCCCTGAGAAGAGGGGTGTTCTATCATGTAAACAGTGGCCAGAATCTGTGCTTGCTGGCTCTGGCCGCCCCCCCCCCATCTTCAGCACCTTACTGTTGGTTGAGGCAGCCCATCACAGTGATGAACCAACACTTAGGCCCCAGACTGATTATTTGCCTATTCAGAGTTCCTGGGTTGCTCTACAGAGGAACGGGTCTGATGTACAAGGTATAGTGGTTTACCTTAAGCTAGCCATCTATAAAATGCCATGTAATGCTGTTATCTTAGCATTGTTCCTAAAATGTTATCATTTATGTTAATCTTTTTCCTATTATGTTCTACAATATCTGTTGAAGAATTGTCTTCACGAATTCACGGGTAAGAAAAAAAATACACAGTTCAGTATCAGACATCTGAATACAGCTTTACTGGGATGTCTACCGATCAGCTTCAAAGGGGAACTCAATGGAAAACATGGATATCATTTTAAATGAAGTCTTTAATCTGCAGATAAAAAACATGTTTGGCTGCAGGAAGACCACCTTGATTTTGGTAAGTGAGACATATTATAATAGTTGTAGTCAGGGGTGCCCTAATTTACTGTTCTTCCAACAATTTATTACCTGGCTCCTTTGGCAATTGAAAATTTACTTTTGTCAAGGTGAGTGGTGCCTGCAGGGCCACCCACAAATATAATTTTGCCCAATTTTGTAAGAAATGGTAGAAATTCAATCTCTGTATGGCCAACTGTACCAAATGTTTTGGTTGGTCATTGTAATGCTACCACCCCCACAATGTTTCAATGTAGGTACCTGGGGGGTATCCTTTTGAGACCCTAGCAATATCCCTGTTGCAATGGGTAAATAAGTCCGGGTTGTCAGGGTTGACAAGGCTCTGGCTCCAGACCTAAGAGCTGGTTATAATGCCTGGAACTGAAGCAAGGGCTGATCCCATATTTTTTTAGATTAATTCTATAGATGGTGAAAAATTACTGGAGCAGGAAGTACGGTAGAACAGAGCCCCACAGCCAGGACTAACATTCTGCAGCTGCTCTTTTTATAGTGCTACTATACTGTACATGACTGTCATATATTTAAAATAACCCCCTCCCTTTTAGATTGTAAGCCCTCAGCGGCAGGGCCCTCCTTACCATCTTGTCTTGAATTGTATTGTGATTGAAATGTCTGCCCTAAAATTGTAAAGCGCTGCGCAAACTGTTGGCGCTATATAAATCCTGTATAATAATAATAACATAGGTCAGTATGTAACATATTTTGTAGAAGCAAAACGAATGTTATAAAAGAGGAATGAAGCGTTATTTTAATGTATTCTCTTGCATCTACTTTTATGTGACCTTAGTACACGTCTAGAGATGATAGCAGTGAAGATCACCAGCATGCGCAGAGTGGAATAAGAGAAAGATCGAGACAATATTGTCGTTATCCCCACCGCTGCCTGATTGACATCTGGTTCTGCCCCCTTCCCTGTCTGTCCCTCAAGTCAGCGCTGGAGGAACGGAGAGAGGAGGGGGGAATCCCTGTTGTCACCGCTCTCTGCAGGGAAAAGATTGGGAACTGAGCGATCAGCTGTATGTGATTGTATAGTTCTCAATCAATAGAGCCAACGTTTGACAGCTGCAGCGTCACACGTCGGCTCTAAGTATGCGATTGAGTGTCCACCCCAAAAATCTCCTTTAAACAGTTTTAAAATTAAAATAAAACAATAAAATGGACCCAAAAATCATTATAGCTTCTTTTTGAAATATTACTAGAGAAGTAGTTAGAATAAACTATGGAAGTAAAAGTAAATAATTTTCCCGGGGGGTGGGGGAGGGTGAAGAGTCCCTTTACATTTATATAAGCACTTGTATTTACTTCATAAGTGATTCTATTGGTGTTCTATTATTTTCTTGCTATGAAGTCCACTGTAGAAGAGTTTTTTTTCCCCACGTTTTTAC